TATAGTGGTGAGACGGATGGAGAAGGCAGAGATTGAGTGTTTCATTTGTGTTTTTGAGCAGAGTTGCGTGTGAGGTTCAAGGAAAGAATTGAGCAGAAGTTTTTTATGAGATTGTGGTGTGAGAGGTTGTTATGAGAGGCTGAAGGAAAACCTGTGAAGATTTGTGAGGTTATGAGATGGGAAGAGGTGAATGAGGGTTTAACAGGTTTTGGAAAAGCTTTTTAGGTATTTTTTCTGTGTATTTTATACCCCTTTATGATTGCTAATGATTGGTCTTTATACAGGGGCTGAGGATGAGGGCATAAGGGACAAATGAGTAGTGGTTTGTTATGAGGTGAGAGGAATACGTGGGATTGAGTCTGTGGAGCAAGTTTGTTATCCTCTTGTCATCTTGTGGCTTTTTGTGAAATATTAAATTTCTGTTTTTTTTGTTGAATTTGATGTTAACCGTGGGCCACCAACCTTAAATGGTTCTTCATTCTTTTTGCTCATGTACTCCTCTTGCACCATATGTTAAATATACTATGAAACTTGTGTAATTCCTTCAGATATTGACATTCGCTTGTAATTATGTACTTGTGCTAATAACACCCTTTCTATTTCTTTTTCATGTGATGTTGATGATTGATGTGAGCATGAAGAGGATGAGGAAACTGAGATCAACCATAAAGCTTGGAGGAATGCCAATCTACAATGGTCGTGAAGCAATTTATTTCTAGCTCTTGAAGTTGAAGAAAGCTTCAAGGCTTTTGTAGTTTTAGGAATTTTGTGAAATATTGTAACTTAGAACAAGCCTTCCTCCAAATTGCATTTATTTTTGCAACTTTGAACTTGTAATGACATATAACTTTGTACCTTTACCAACCTTTAATGAAAATCAAGATTTGGGTCATCATGATGCCTTGTTGTTCTTTGAATTTGATGGATACAACTTGACAACCAAAATAGTTCTCATAAACTTGGATTTGGATTCTATATAGAATGTTGAACTTGAATTAGAATGGTTAAGGTGCCTTGAAATTTTGAATTCCCTTGAACTTGCACCTTGATTATTTTTATTGTAAAATCTTGTAGTTTTAGATTAATGAACAACACTTGTTTTGGATTTAATGAATAACACTTGAAGCCAATGAACTCATGAATGGATTTAGGCTCATAGTAGAATTTGCTCCAAAACAAATCAAGATTCCAAGTGAACAAATAAGAAGAAAGAAAAAATCCCCTCCTTGCATTTGATCTTGTAACTTATCCTTCAAGAAAACTTCCAAAAATATTTATTTCAAGATTAACCTTAATCCGTACTTCCTTTGAGTGATAGTGATAGCCAAGGGATAATAATACACATCGTGTGAGAGAGAAAAAATCAATAGAAATTGGATGTTCATTTGTGTATTTCTCCTTTTGCTAAGAAAAAGCCTGGTCATGATCTAAAACACAAGTTACTAAACTGCATCTCTTGCAAATAAATAGACCTTCATCACATGAAAAACCCTACTCCACTTATCAAACCAAACATATTCATACCTTGAGCTACAATTTAAATACAGGAAAAGAAACCTTGGAACAAAACCAAATGTTACATGTGGGTGCGGATGAATGAAAATGCATGTCTGGTAAGAAGATATGTAGATGGATCAATGCTAAAAAGCCAGATGGAATGATGATAGTAGGGCAAATTTTGGGGTGTGACAGATTCGATTAAGGAATTACCCTAATTCGAATAAAAAATTTAGTGGGTGTATTTATGACTGTATGAATCGATTTATGCACCATTTTGATTCGATTCAAGAGTGAAAATGGTCATGATTCAATTTAAAACTTCCTGAATCGACTCAAAAGTGCAAAAAACTCATAAATTCCTATTTTTACACTTCTAAACCATCATCAAACCCATACTAATACTCACGAACGTTCATGAATTATACATAATCCTAGCTCATAGTACATTTAATCTACATAATTTCTCAGCACATACAAGATCAATTATCATATAATTTTATCAGACATTGCTTTTGATTCTAAGATAAGAGTGATGGCAATGAACTCTAATGATCCTACTTTCACAATTGCAAAATGATGATAAAATTCTTCCTAGTGCATGCAAGCTTGATTAAGTGCAGATTTTCTTCCTCTCCTTTAAAATTTGAGCAGTCCATTCTTGTCAAGAACCTTCATGCTGGTTTTCTCTCAACTTATGCTTCATCATACTTGAATAATTTCTATTAGAGTAAATTACACTTTCTTCTTCTGAGAGATACCCATCTTACACTATCCTCTCCTCTTGTGTTAAATATACACTCATCTTCTCTATTATGCAAAAAAAAATATTACATTTCTCTCCTCTGATAGATACTCATATTACATTAACCTCTCCTCTTGTGTTAAAATATCTTCTCTCCTCCCCTCTTATATAAAGTATATTACATTTCTCTCTCCTAAAAGATGTTCATCTTACACTAGGGGTGTGCATGGTTAGTTACTTTTAGAAACCAAATTATAGCCATTTTCAAACCATTTAAATGGTTTGGATTTATAACCATAATTACATTTTAATCAAAATTGATTATAAAACAGGTTTTTTAAAAACTATTTTATTAATTTTTTTATTCGAAATTATAAAAATAAAATTTTAAAAAAATTCAAAAAATTTGTTTTTAAAAAATATATATATTTCTGTAATAAATTTTTTTGAAAAAAGAGTTTTTTTTATTATAATGTTTTAAAATATATATATATATATATATATATATATATATATATATATATATATATATATATATATATATATATATATATATATATATATATATATATATATATATATATATATATATATATATATATATATTCAAAAACTTTTCTGGAAACATTTTTTACCGGAAATTTCTAAAATAATTTTACATCCCTAAGGTAATTGATTACATGGCCATATTTTTTGAAATTCTTTTAACATTAGTGTAAGGTAACCAGTTACATCCATGAGGTAACAAGTTACCTCAAAAACAGTAGCATTCTTATTTTTTCAAATTTTATTCAAACGAATTTATTTTTGCAACCCTTAATCATTGCATTCATTCATGATTTCATATTCTTTTTGAAGGGTGTTGAGATGTTATATATACTCTCATTTTCATATTTCAAAACTCACCTCTTTCATAGCAATTTAAATCATTTACTTACTCATTTTCATACAAGTGTTTTGATACATAAATTTTCATTGAGATTTTTCTGCATATTGTTTCATATCAGTCCAGAAAATTTTCTACGTCATTCATAAACACTTGAGCACTAATATATCATTGTAAATTGCTTGTTTGAAAGATAAGATCAATCCTAGTGATTGATAAATATTCATCAAATTTATTTACTCAAATACTTTCTAGATTTGGTTTGTAATTCCTTGTTGTCCAGGATTGTTAGAAACAAGAAAGTAGAAAAGAAATGATCGTTTTTTTTTCCTACTTGGTTGGTTTGTTTACCTTTATGTCCAGGGTTGTTGGAAGCAAGAGAGATGAGTTTGAGAGGATTGTTCTCATTTCAACTTGGTTGGTTAAGGTGTTGTTGCCTTGGTTATTGGTTAGAGTCTTGTATAGAAAGGCTATGTGTATCTTGTCTAGAGATCTAACAATAATGAAATCTCTTTCGCGTTGAAAGGGGACTAGACGTATCTTCGGACTGTGAAGGAAACTAGGATACATCCTTGTTTTCTTTATTTTTTTGCACTTTATTGCCTTCAAAGACTTAACAATAAACCAGAAAAATAAGCATAACATGAGTCTAAAACCGGTAAAAATTTAAAGTGTCTAATTCATCCCCCTCTTAGATGCACTTTGAAACTAACATTTCACTCATTCTCATTTGTGAGTTCTTTTTCCTGTCTCTTTCCTTAGATCTGATTTTGTCTTGTAGGAAAAATCTTGACAATTTTCTCTTCCTGATTAAATCTTCAATAACTTCCTTCAGTTGTATGCATTCTTTTGTGTTATGGATGTTACACTGGTGGAAATGACACTATTGAGATTTGTCCACTCCCAGACAATCTCAGTAATTTTGGTGTTTCAACTTGTTCTTCTCTAAACTTTGTGTTGTTGCATTCTTGCAAGATACAGTCTTTTGATATGTTCAATGACATGTAATCTTTGTATCGAAGGGAAATCCTCAATTGGCCTCTCGGTTGGTCAATGAATATTTATTTACTTTTCCCCTATTTTGTTTTCTTGTTTGGTTTCTTTATTTCTCATTCTTCATGTTTCTTCCTTCTCAAACTCTCTATCATAAATTACCTTATTGACATGTAAGTGTAACTTTATCTCGTACTCTATGAACTTTTTGGCCCTTTCCAGTAGGTTGATAAAGGTTTTAAGGGCCGTGATTTCAATATTTTTGGCGAATTTAAACCCTTGTTGGAGTCTTTAGACTTAATAGGTACTTTTGGGGGGACTATGCCTCTTTTTAGATTTAGATACTTAATTCTCTAAATATATTCGCCAAGAAGATGGACTAGGCCAAGACCCACTCAAAAGTATCTAAATCTAAAAAGAGGCAAACCAAGCCTATTTTTTTTACATAATCACCTCTATTTCCAATTGAAAGAGAATCAAAAAGAGTGAAGGAAGTAGATGTACAACCTAAATTAGCAAAAAAAGTTGTACAGCTATTGCATTCCCTACAAATGTGAGAAATAATAAAATTCATATCCAAAACTATTCTAATGTAATTTAACCATCTATTTCTAATTTGCCAAGGAACTTGATCAAGCTTGGACGCGGAAAAAGCATTCACAACCAACGTGGAATCCGATTCCACCCACGGATTGATCTAACCTCTCTCTTTTTCCAATTTAATCCCTCGTATTACACCACAAAATTCAGCAAAAAGAGAAGAATTCTCATAAAGCGGTTCAGCAAAAGCTAACAGAAAATTATTTGTGTTGGATCGAAAAATACCACCACAACCCGAGGAGTTTGAGCTAGAGACAAAAGAGTTGTCCACATTAAATTTCACCCAACCGGGTAGAGGGGGTCCCAAAAGATCTCCTTAATAAGAGGAGCCTTGGGAGGCTTGATTGTAATTTGAAATGTCTTTAGCACCTCAAAATCATACAAGTTATGCATATAGCATAAATCAGAAATATCACAATTAAGCTTCACTTGCGCACAAATGTTGACCTTGATATTTGCAATATTGGGGATGATGTTGAAGTAGCGAATCACACTCTGGGCTTCCCAAATGGAATAAATCGTATAAATACAAGCAACTTTGATTGTAAACACTCCTTGAGGAGAAGAGGCTTTTGAAAAAGTATTCCAAAAATCGAAAGAGTTAACAATATTGTGCAGGTGCAGAAGCTTAGAAAGCCAATGCCAAAGGGATAAAGAAAAGTTACAAGAGAAGAATAGATGGTCCATGGATTCTGCAGAATTGTTGCAAAGAGAACACTTAGAAATCACGTTAAAACCCCGTCTAACGAGTTGGTCATCTATTGGAACTTTGCTATGTTGCAGCCTCCAAACCAACAAAGATTTGGAAGGAGGGATGTGACAATCCCAAATTGAGGAAGCCCAAGGCGGAGGAGGTAATGGATGACACTTGAACGCATAAGCTTTCCTTTAGAGTCAACATTCCATTAGGAGTGGCAGTCTAACAGAGAGTATCCTCATAGAAATCTTCATAAGTAATCACATTCAAAATTTTGTCTTCTAAGAAAGGGAAAAAATCAAGCCAGATTGTGGGAAAGGACCAAGCACTATTGTGTAAGTAATCAATTTTTTTCCTCAAAGTCTATATTCCAAAGCTCAAAATCGCTCAGGTTCATTTCATTAACAAATGGTTGCCTGGACCAAGCATCCACCAAAAAACGAATTCTGGAGCCATTGCCTAAAGACCAAGAAGAATTACTCATCACGGTGTTATACTCCTCTTTAATGCCTTTCAAAATAGAAGAATATATATGGTAATTAATCAAACCATGTTTTCTAAGAACTCTCTACCGGAGAATTTCAGCCCAATCCTCTCTAGAGTTTAGTAAATCCCAACTCAATTTCAATTTGGACACTTGATTGGGACAGACAAGAGATCTCAGATTAAGACCACCATTAACTTTCAGTTGACAAACTTTTTTCCAAGAAACAGTTACCATCTTCTTCTGATTAATGTTACTGCTCCAAATGAAATTTAGGGAAGCCTTTTCAATACTTTTTAACAGGTAAATCGGCCAAGAATAGACACCTAAAGTATGTGTTAACATGGAATTAATAACAGATTGCACCAGAATAGCCCTGCCCGCAAACGAAAGAAGAGATCCTTTCCAAGACGAGAATTTCGAAAGGATTTTATCGGTGATAGGTTGAAGACAAATCACTTTGACTCTCCCTTTTAATATTGGCGCCCTGAGATAGTTGAATAGGAGAACACCTTTAGTGAAACCCGTAAGACTAATTAACTCATCAAGCCTGGAATTAGTCATTCCTCCAACAAAAATAGAAGATTTTGAAGGGCTGAAAATCTGCCCTGAAGCAGCCGCATAAGTAGAGAAAAAAGAAATTAGAGCATTGACATTAGAATTGGTACCTTTGCATAAAATCAAGATGCCATCCGCATAAAGCGTGTGCAAAGGAAACACAATTTACTGGCCCCCTTCATGGGTTTAACCGCGTCGGAATCGACCAAATTAGAAAGACCTCTACTAAGGACTTCCTCGGCAATACAGAAAAGAAGAGGCGAGAACGGATCCCCTTGCCTCACCCCCCTACCACATGTGAAATAACCATTAAGCTTCCCGTTCATGTTTACCAAAAGATAAGCAGAGGACAGAATCGAATGAATCCAATTTTTAAACTTGTAAGAAAAACCAAAGTTAGTCAAAACCTGCAACAAAAAATTCCAATTTAAAGTGTCAAAGGCTTTGATAACATCCACTTTGATGGCCACATTACCACTTTTTCTTTTCTGATTCAACAAATTAAAAGCCTCTGGAGCCAGACATATGCAATCCTTAATATTTCTTCCTTTTATAAAACCCTTTTGTTCTTTGGAAATAAGTTGTGGCATAATAAAAGCCAAGCAGTCTGCTAGAACTTTAGATATCACTTTGAATTTGAAATTAGTGAAAAGATGGGGCAGAAACGGTCCAAAGTATTGTCATCCTTACTTTTCGGGATAAGAACAATCGATCTGACATTATAATTCTTCAATATCCATCCATGTTTAAAGAATTACAACACCGTATTAACCACGTCATCTTTAATCACCTCCCAGTATTGTTGAAAAAAGAATCCTCCAAATTCGTCGGGGGCCGGAGAGCTGTCAGCACTAAGATTAAAAACCGCGGTTCTAATTTCTTCCACTGAAAGGCTAGCAGTGAGCATAACATTCATCTGATCAGAAACCAAATTAGGAATAATATTCTCCATATTAGGAAAAGGAGTACCTACAACTGCAAAACCAAACAGATTAGAGAAATAAGTAGTGACATGATTGGAGATTTCAATTTGATCATGTTTGACGTTGTCTCTAATCACCAAATGCAAAATAATACTCCTTGCACTCTTGATCTTTTCTAAGCAGTGATAAAAATAGGTATTTTTGTATTTGTGTAAGTTCCAATTTAATCTGGATTTTTCGCGCCAGAAAATTTCCTCCACATCTAGAGCCTTCTCCAAGTCTGCCTAGGCCTATTTTTCCTGCAAAGAGAGAGCCTCATTCCATCCTTCCAACTGAATTTGATCTTGAATGTTCTTCAGAGAGTCCTGCATACTGCGAACACTGTGGTGCACGTTGCCGAAATGTTCTTTATTCCAAATTCTTAGTTTTCCTTTTAGTAATTATAGCTTCTTGTTTAGAATATACATCGGACACCCGAAAAATCTTGCCTTCCAACAATCAGAGACCAAATGGAGACAGGTATCATTAGCCACCCACATTCGATGAGACTTGAATTGAGAGAACACATGAGAAGAAGTGAAATTGAAATCCAAAATAATTGGGAAATGATCTGATCTAACTCTAGGAAGAGTTGTGACATTCCATCTAGCACAAAGCAAAAGCCAAGCCTGGCTACAAAAAACACGATCAAGTCTCCGCTCCACCAACACTGCACACTCTCTATTATTGCTCCAAGTGAAAAATGCTCTGGTCGTGTCTAAGTCATTCAGAAATTTGGAATCAATCTCATTGGTGAAATCCTTCATATAACACCTTGAATGAGCATCCTTCCCATGTGCTCGTGCGAACCAACAATGGCGTTGAAATCACCAATAGATACCAAGGAAAGGAAGTCGGTCTAAATAACAGCGAAAGAGACTCCCAAAGTTGCCTTCTCAAAACATAATTAGTTGAAGCATAAATCACTGCAGTACAAAAGTAAAACCATCTACCTCCATTTGAAAGAAACCATTTGATCAATAATTCCTAAAATAATAGGATCTAAAGTATTCTTGTAGAGACACCAAATATTAGGACTCAAATCTCCTCTATCGTTAAGGGAAAAAACCTTGAAGCCAAGACCATCTAAAAATCTCCTAGGAAATTTTGAAAAAAAAGCATCCAAGGCTTTGAAATAAAACAGAAATCAGGATTTTGAAGTTTGATAAAAGATTTAAGGACCAACATAGTGGGAGTGTTGGTCAAACCCCTAGAATTCCATAAGAGAGTCTTCATAAATAAAGCTTTATAGGATCTACTTTGGATCTTGTGGAATACCGCAACTTACTCCTTTGCTTACTTTTCTTCTTCTGAGACTTGGACATAACAAGTTGAAAGTCCTCCTGTTCAGGAACTTCATCCGAACAGATGGAATCAACTTCAATCTGATGATTATCCCTATTGCAATGGGAGTCGAAATTTCCTTGAAGAGAATTACAGGCCTCATTAAGAAAAGCTTTGTTAACTTTTTTGTTTTTTGTCCCCGCAAAAACCTCAACCATAGAATCAACAAATAAACCTTTAGAACTGGTTGAAGTTGTGGCAGTTGATTCAAAATTATTATCTGGGTTGCAATCTTTGAAAATACCATCTTGTATATCTAAATTTCCTTCAGGGTTAGCAACTAGGATCAAATCTTGTAACTGAATTTCATCCACAACAAAATCTTTAGAGTGAGTAACAGGAACAGTCGGTTCCTCTTGTTCCACCAGATTAGGAATGTGAGCAGTTTCCTTAGGAGGTTTCGTCTGCGCAACATTGTTGGTTTTGGGCGCAATCGCTTTTTTGAGCTGGAGCTTCAGCTTTCCTGTAGGATTCTCCAGATTTGTGAATTTTCAATCTTCTTACAGTGAGCACAAAACGCAGGCAGATTTTCATAATCAAGGTCAATGAAAAAAGCAAAACTCTTTTTTTCAACCAGAACTTTGTACCTAATTTCACAGGACACATCCATGTCTACCAGAACTCGCACATAGTCCGAAAGTCCTATCTTTCATGGGATTTGTTGAGGCCATATCAGAGTATATAGAAGTACATATGCTGTTAGGAATCGCAAATAAAATTTTCGGGCGCCAATATTCTTGAGTCAACCCATAGAGTCTTACCCAAACCTGAGTTGTGTTTGAATTTTGAATGTTAGGCACAAAATCCTTAGTCCAAGGGAACAACTTAAGCAAACAACGTGCTAGATTCCAGACTTCGAAGAAGAAGGAAAAACAGAAGGTTGAGAAGCGAGACAACTCCAAGGTATGAGAAACGGCTCCATTGAGAATCAGATGCGAGATTAGAAATCACCATTTGGGGACGGTGAACAGTGGTAGGGTTTCATGGTTTTCACATACACTGAAAGAATGAAATGATAATTGTTAATAAGTGAAATTAGTTGATAATTCATGTGCAACCCACTCCATTTCACCCATTTTTCATCTCTTTATCGTGTGAAAGAGGCGATGTAGAAAATATATATTTTCAAATCCAACCTTACCCAATTTGCACCCGGCATGTGAATGGAATCTTTTGCCGAATTAACAAGTAACAACATTATTGATGGTATTAAACTTTTGTGATATGGTACACTTAGGTTATGAATCGAATCAATTTGAGAGTCAATTTGATTATATATGAGATAAATTATATTGTCTTTAAAAGTAGATTTAAAATGTTTACTCAAAATCTTAGCCATATATTTTCTTTTAATCTAACTATTTTAATTAGGGAAGATAATGGACAAGATTTGGAGAGGGTACTATAATATCCGTCTACATATCTGAGGTTCGAAAAAATTCATGTATCCAAGCCCAAACTCACGTGGGCACCGATGTTCATACTCGTATTCATACCCTATGGGTACCTCAATACTCATATTTGTGTCCGTTTATCTGCATTTGTAGTAAAATTCAATCAATTAATTATAAAATAATATTTAAAAAAATTTATGAATGATATTGTTGAGTTGAGAAATAAATAAATACTATTATTAAAAATGTAATAGTTTAATAGAAATATTTTTTTTTTAAATTGATAGATGTACATTTTTATATAATAATACAAATGATATTATATAAATATGTAGTGCGGATATGAGACGAGGTGGGTAGTAAGCTATCTGTGTCTGCACTCATACCCACTTATTTTAATAGATAATTATATGTATTTGTATCTATTTTACAGATTTTTACCCTATGTGAGCAAAATATTTTAAAAAATAACTATACAAATAAAATCAACATCGTATAAATTCTAAATTTATTTTATTTTTTATATTATTTATTTAAAAAAATATTAATTTAAAATATCAAATAAAAAATAGACTTTAAAAAATGATTTTTAAATTCGTGAAACAAACGAGTTTAACTTAACAAAATGAATTTAACAAATTGAACTTAACAAAATGAACTTAATAGATTGAACCGAGTTGTTCGTGAATTTATAATGAGTCGAATTTGAACTGAAAAAAAGTTAATGACAAACTCGAACCAATGTTTAAACTAAATTAATTCTAATGCCTCGGGTCAATTTAAAATGGATTCAACTCAATTTATTTTCAACCTAGGTACACTCTGCTTTTAGGAACTTTATAAGTTTAATTTGGTTAGTTGTGCTGCTTTAGTTGTTTCTGTTTTTTATTAGTTTTTTTAGACATTTTCTTTTTATTAAATTCTTGACAAACTTTATACTGAATAATAGTTAGTCTGTTTTTAGAAAATAATGAAAACTTGCCTAATGAATAATGATTGGAAAAATACCTTTGTTATGTTTAAAAAATATACATTTAAGAGTATAAAATATTAATATGAAGAAAATAAAGTCCATTTTCTCAAGCTTCTGGTTCAAAAAATAAAAAAGGTGGGAAAATGATTCCACAAAGTTAGATATAAAATTGAACTCAGGCAGCAAACTTTTTCGAATCTTATATAATCTACTAAACATATTTTCTAAAAAAGTAACATGTATTAGAATAAAGTAACAATGTATTAACTCAAGAAATACAAACTTCATAGCATTCTTGTAAACAACTCTTAACCATACATATAACACAATAGCATTTTCCAAGCATTAAAACACATGAAAAAACAAAAACTTTAGAATTAATTATATAATATATGGGCGGTGGAGAATTAATTATACCAGAATCGAGTTTGATAAAATAGATTTTATCTAAATTGAGTTTAACATGATAGATTTATATTTAGATACATTTTATAAAATTAAATTGAACAATAAATTTCAATATGAAAATCATCTAAAATCAATTCTAGAGACGGAAATTATAAATTTTAACTTCAAGTTGAATCAATTTTCGAGACAGAAACTTTTCTAGTAATGTTTTTCATAACTAAACATTTCAAAATCATCCGGAATCAATTCTACATTTCTAGAATTGCTTTTAGCTCTTCCAAAAGCCAAATTAACTCTTCCAAAAGCCAAACCAAACATGCACTTGGTCTATTTTTAGGAAATAATGAAAACATGCCTGACGATTGGGAAAATACCTTAGTTAGGATGTAAAAAACTTAGAATTAAGATTATAAAATATTAAGATGAAGAAAATAAAGTCCATTTTCTCAAGCTTCTGGTTCAAAAAAATAAAAGGTGGGAAAATGATTCCACAAAGTTAGATATAAAGTTGAACTTCCATATAGCAAACTTTTAAGAATCTTATATCATCTACAAAACATATTTTCAAAAAAACAAAGGAGTAACGTTCCTTTGTTATTTCTATAAAAAGTTATTTCCAAACTAACACACCTAAATAAAATAAATATCAAGAATGAGTAACAACTTTTAAACAACTTTTAATCAACTTTTAACCAAACAATAACATCAGAGCATACAAAAACTTTTACTGTAGCATAAATATTTTTTAAAAATTACAGCAGCAGTTAATAAATTAAGAACTGATGTCCGAACAGTGCAGCCAATAAAATCCATATGCAAAATTTTAAACTACATCTTCTCGGGTACCCGCCTATAAAAAAAACTCCAAAACAAGGCTCTGCATAATGGCATTCAAGAGGAACTTCTTTTTTCTTCTATCAGGAAGATAGATTCTTAAGCACTAAGCTAACTTGCCTTTCAATGAACTTATTGGGATCTTACTCAAGACCTTACTCAAGACCTTCTCATCAAACACTGCATACTGCTTTTTAATCTCGATGAACGCCTTTTCAGCCAGAGGGTCTATCTTGTCCTCAAACTTATCATAAAAGAAAGGAACTGTGTGCAACAAAACAAAGGCTGCAGATGAAGAATATGCAAATCAGTAAAAATTCAGTTAATAACAAAACCAAAATGTATAAAATCAGTTAATAAGAATTATTCTTACTTAGGTAGAACAAGGTCAAGAAATTGACACAGTTTCCCAATTTTGATAGAATCCACAAGCTAACAACAACCTAACAAAGCATCAACAACAAAACCATTAGCAAAAGTTAGCAACATGACAACAATAGTTTAGTTACTTCTATACAAAAATTAGTAAGACATTATAGTTGGCATGCATTTCAACCATGTAATTCATTCTATTCTGCAGATTACTTATTTAAGAAAATAATATTTAAATATGAATATGAACTAGCAAGTTTGCAATTGACTTACACCAAGGAGTTTCTTCAAATCTCTTCCAGAACCAATATCACGCAAGGCAGTAAATCCTCTGTTAATTTCAATTCTCAATGCAGCTGCAAACTGCAGAATTGGTTCTTCAGGAAGATGAACAATTGGGATGTGAGGAGCAGTCCTACAAAACATTATAACATTCATCACATGCATATGATTAGATAAGAGCCAATCTAACATGCAAAATTGTGCCTCAAACAATAAATTAACAGGTCCTGGAGAATCTTACTTGTGAATAAATGTATGAGCATTGGACCACAAGAACAATAGTGCAAGAACCAGAATCGAACTGTGACAAATGAGGGTAAGAAAGTGGTACTCAAGCAGCTCAAAGAAAACCCAAATAGCAGTTGCAACACCGAGTGCACCACCAGATATCTTCTTGTTCTTCCATAATAAGACATCAGCAGCTGCAATTCACCGTTGACCACAAGATAAATCAGCAATAATAAAACAAAAAATTGAGCAGTCAACTTTTCTTCTACAATAAGTGAGAACCAAATCAGAAAAACTATTACAGTAAAAGTAAGAATCACAGCATTCAACATCCAGTTTAAACTTAGATAAATCATGTGACTCATAGACACACCATCAGGTCACTTTCATAAGCAAATTTAATTATTTTAGGTTCATTAACAATTAATGTATCTAGATCATATATTAACTAGATACACCAATTATTGAATAAACTAAAAAAAGTTAAATTAGCTCATAATAGTGACCGGAGTATGTATAATTCAATGGACTTAGCTAGCAAAAAAAACACTAATAACATGATTCAATTCAATTGACTAGCTTAGTAAATGGCATGTTAGATTCAACAGTATAGCAAATGATGAACACTGAAAGATCTTCGATTCAATACCATACATAAACATCTTAAAAGATCTAGACCAAACAAAATTTTCATTCGCATGTAACAAACGATTAATCAAAATGTAGCATTCAAAATATTACTATTTTCCACAGATCTAAACCAAAACAAAAAAGCAAAGAGTATCTAAAGAAAGCGATAGTAATGCATACGCTTTCCGCCGCCGAGAACGGAGTGAACGGGCTTCTCCCTTCCAAAAAGGCGAAAAACCTTGTCCTTAACTGATGAAATCTCCGGTTTAACAGATTCGGAATGAGAATCGGAGTCGGAATCGGAGGACGATTCGTCAAAGTGAAGCTTCTCTGGGATCTTTTCAAACAACGAATCGCCGCCAGTCGCTGCCGTCACGGTGCTTCCGGATTCGCCACCCATTTTTCTTCGAAACCCTAAATATTAGGAAAAGGAATAAAATTGGAGAAAAAGTTCTTTCGGTTAGGGGAGAGTTGAGAATCGAGTGTAGTATGGGTTTTTATAGTGTTGTGTTTAACGAGGTTTGGATTCCGAAGCTGAGGTTCGGGAGGGATTTGAATCTCGTACGGAGTAAACGGCGTTTGAGACTTTAAAGTTTAAATTTCTAATTTGCTCTATGTTCGGTGAAACTTGTTACTTTTTCTTTTTTACAATTCCTTTTAAATTAAATCATGCCAAAAATAAGTATTTATTAAGATGTTTTTGAAATTAACTTCAAAATTTGATATTTAAGATATTTTACATAGTCTATTAACCATTAATCATAAATGTTGATTTGTTTACAATGTTATACTTTTATTTTGACTTTTACAAGTGCATAGCAATTAAACTTAAT